GGCGCAGGGCCACGCCCCCTGCCCTCCCCTCTCGGAGTTGCTTCCGTCCTAATTCAGCCTCTGACCCGCGCGTACACTTTTTTGGTTTTGGAAATTTTTTTGCCTATCTCTGTTCTCACCCGCCCACATCCACGAGGGTCGGTGGCCGTTCACGGGAATCCCTGCTAATTATTATGTTGGTGTTTCCTGAAGAAAGAACATTTTGATCGGAAACCTCGTTTTGCCGCCCTGTCAAGTGGTGTGCACCCGCCCACATCTACTTGGCACGTTTTGTAGGAAAGTTAACAGCAGAGTTAATTACGTCTGCTGATTCCAAGTAGCCTCTCATGTGGAGTTATGACACACGTGTAGGGCTTTGTAGTTTACAAAGCGCTTTCCAAGTACACTATCTCACTTAATATTAACCTCAGCCCTTTGAGACGGAAATTCAAAAAAAAATCATTATTCTCATTTCATAGTTGAATAAATCAAGGCATGGGAAATGGAGAGGTTTTAAGTTTCTTGTCCATGATCGCAACAGACCCCCTTAAACTCAGGCTGATTCCACGCCTGGATTTTCCCCCCTCTGTATTTGCACCAAGATACCTTAGGTCAGAATTTTGAGTATAGACTTTTGTTCCCTGACCATTACAGTCAACATCGTGCCCCCTCCCCAGAACACATATTCTTTCAGGATTGGGGCTATATCCTAGGAATCACCATATGTTTCGAAGACTTCATTTTTTGTGTGCAGTTCTTTAAACATAACCTCTCAAAAATATTGAGTGAATTATCAAAATCACTTGCTAAATGAAACTTTTACCTATCCCTAAGAATGTTAGGTGCTGAACAGTTTGAGATTAAGTTGCATACGTAGTGCCCTTTTATTCCTAAATACTCCAGGTATATTTCATGAGAACAGTGACACACACATACACAACCAATCTAATAACCATTTACATTTAAATGATTATTGGTATGGTTGGGTTTAAATCTAATATCCTGAATAGTTTCTCTTTATTCCATGTGTTATTTATTTTTTATCTTTTTCCTATCTTTCTGTAATTTACATTGTTGTTGGTTTTTTATAATTGCACTTATCTCTTCTGTCAGCTTACTAGCTTTTCTTTTTCCCTAGGTAGTTGCTTTAGGGTTTATAGTATACATTTTAAACCTTTCATGGTTTACCTTAAAGTAATATTAAGATTCCATTTTATACACACTGTTTATTTGTCAGCTATATTATTTTTGTCTCTCTTGTTTAGTGGTTGCTCTAGGGTTTAACTTACCATCTACTTTCAATTCTACCACTTATAGTATAAGAATCTTACATCAACATACTTCTATTTGTCATTTCCTGGCTTTTGTGCTATTGTTGTCATATATTTTATTTCTCTTTATCTTGTAACCCTCCAAATAGACTGCTATTAATTTTCTCTTAAACAGTCAATTCTTTTTTATCAATAGACTTATATTTTTTAAGAACAGTTTTAGAGTTATGCAAAAATTGAGCAAATGGCACAGAGAGTTCCCATATACCATCCCCTTCCCCACACAAACACAGTTTGTCCTATTTTATTAACATCTTACATTAGTATGGTACATTCGTTACAATTAATGAACCAATACCATATGTTATTATTAACTCAAGTCTATACTTTATTCAGATTTTCTTAGTTTTTAACCTAATAATTTTTTTCTGTTGCAGGATCCCATCCAAGATACCACTTTATTCTGTCTTACTTTATTTGTTGTTCAAACTGTTCCAGCTTTGGCACTGTCAGTTATCCTTTAAAGAGACTTCTAAAAACAAGAAAAGATGCCTTTATATTTACTTGTACACTGACTGTTTCTGGTATTTTTTGTTGTATACCAGATTTCCACCTCATTTCATTTTCTATCTTCCTGAGGTTCTTCCTTTAATATTTCACACAGTGCGTGTCTGCTGCTGATTCTTTCAGCTGCTTCATGTCTGAAAAATTGATTGGGCTTTTGAAAGATACTTTCACTGGGTATAAGATGCTAGGTTGACTTTTTTCCTTTTAGTGCTTTAAAAGATGTTCATTGTGTTGAATTATTTTCTATGAGACCTCTTTCTTCTTATCTTTTTCTCTGTGAATAGTGTGTTATTTTTCCTTTGGCTGCTTTTAAGATTTTTCTCTTTGTCATTGGTTTCTGTCAATTTGATAATGATGTACCTTGGTGTAGTTTTCTTCATATATTTTCTCCATAGAATTTGTGCACTTACCCCCCAGATCCGTGAGACTATTTTCATTTAATTTGGAAATAATTCAGCCATTATTTCTTCAGTATTTTGTTTTGTTTTCCCCTCTCTCTCACCTGTATTGTAGACTCCAAATACATGCATATTAAGCCAATTTAAGCTGTTGTATAATTCATTGATGGTCTGTTCTTTTTTTTAACAGTCTGTTTTTTTGGTGGGATTTTTTTTGGATGTTCTGTTTCTATGGTTCAGGTACACGAATATCTTCTTTTGCAAGATTTAATCTGCTGTTAATACCATCTAGGATATTTTTCATTTCAGACATTGCATTTTTTATCTATTAAATTTATGTCTTTCTTTATATCTTTCCTGTGTCTGTTTAGCATACTCATGCTTTCCTCAACTTTGAATATATGTAATATTATAACTGTTTAAAAATTTTTAAAGCAGTTCTTTCTGCCATTTTTATATTTATTTGTCTTGATTTCTCTTTTTGTTATGAATCTTATTGTCCTGCTTCTCTGCCTACCTGGTATATTTTGATTGAATGCCAGACATTGTGCATTCTACCTGTTGTGTGCTAGATATATTTTATTCTCTTAAATATTCTTCAGATTTGTTCTAAGTGGCAGTTAAGTTACTTGGAAATAGTTTGATCTTTTCAGGGTTTGCTTTTAAGCTTTGTTAAGCAGAAACAGAGCAGACGTTAGCCTACACTAATTTGGCTCTGCCAGTAAACACTCTTCTATTTGTTGGCTTTTAAAGTACAAGGTTTTCCAACTGGACAGAACTGGAAAGTGGTCTATATATTTTTTCTACAGGTAATTTGAAAGTTACAGTGTTCTCTGTATTCTGATTTTGCTGAAGACATGAGATTTTTGTGGGTTCTTTTGTTCTTAATATTGATCTATATAGTCTTTTGGAAGGATGTATAGAGAGGATCACATTTAGGCAACTGTCAGTACTTTTGTTTCCTCTAAGCCTGGGAAATCTGCTTCTTGAGAGCAATTAACTAAAAAGAGCTAATTTAGGATATATTTTTTTTTAATCAGAAAAGTATGATGGCATGTGACATGACATTTGACCTTTTAAAATGGCTGGATTTTTGCAAATAAGGGACTTTGGAATTTTATTCTTTCAGATAACAGATCAGTAGAGAAGTTTTACTATTTTTCATGTAAATTTTGAATTCCAGATTGTTCTTACACCTATGTGTGGGATGTCTATAAAGTTAGGTTAAAGTTACTACATAATACCTTTTAGTGCTTTAATGAAATAGTGAATTATTGTTACTTGACCTTTTGAAAAGGTCAGTAGTACATTTTGTTTCATTTTTTTAAAGGACATTTAAATGTAATGAAAGTCAGAACTGTAATATTACCATGAAAGTAAAGGTTATGGGGTACATTTAATTGTGTTCCTCTATTTTTGAAACTGCTTTAAGGGAGACTGTGCTCAAATTCTCGTGGTAATTGTTTTTCGAGAATTTTATTACTCTTTTTCATTTTATACTGTTGGAGTAAAAGATTATAATTCTGTTTGTCTTTTTTCTGCTTACCTTTGCTCAGATTTCATGTGTATTATCCTATTTAAGGTACAAAGTTTAAGCTGCTTACTCATTCACTTTCTCAAGAAAGTAAAACTGAATGTATTTCTCAGAAAACAGTTCTTCCTTCCTTAGAAAGACTCTTGAATATACTTGGTATACTTGAATATATAGCTAGTGAATATTTAAATTAAGAGAAGTAACATAATATGTTAGCAGTTTTACTTATTAAATGTCTGCAAGTGTGGGAGAATTAAATACATTCTGATTTATGAAAACATTTCTCTGATATTTGTATGTTTAGATTATTTAAATATATTTTTATTTTATAAAATATAGAAAATTGAAAATATGAAGCCCATAATGTATCAGATATTCTTATTTTTACTTATCAATATTTTGGGTTTTTTCTTCTATATTCAAAGCAATTTGAAGGAATTTTCTTTTCAAAAATTTATTTCCTAAGAAATAACATTTAAAAATCTTTTTTATGTCTACATTAACAATTTCTTATAGTTCTTATGGTTATGTGAGTGACTGTATCTTTGAAAACAATCTCAGTGTTTTGATTTCCCAGTCATTACAAAGTTACTGACAGTTATTTTCTCTCAAATGCAGTATTCTGTTGCTTATATTTTAATAAGTATAAACATTTGGATAAAGTTGATACCTTTTAGAAAGTAAAGTAAACATTGCCTTTTCTATGTGATTCTAAAATTAAGTGAAATTCATAACATTATGTGAAAGATGGAAATTTGAACCTTTTCAATATTTTCCACAGGGAAGAGATTTCCATCTTAGAATATTGTTGCCCGAAGATTTGCAACTGAAGAATGCAAGGTGATGTGGTGTTTTGTTCTATACATGCATCTTTGTGGGATGGGCAGTCAGTTAATCTGGTACAAACTGATTTTAGTCAGTAGAGTTTGGCCTAAAATGCTTATTAGTCATTTCTGATTTTTCCAAGTCAGTGTGCATTTGTAAATGATTTTTCCCTCGTGCTGTAGTACTTTTCAGAGGTGACATATTAATTCTCTAATTTTCTTTTTAATTCAAAGCAGTAAACTGGAGTTGTGTAAGTTTCACTAACAAGTATTGAACTGAAGTATAAAGGGAGACTACAAAAGAATTAGAAATAGAAAGCTGTGTTGTGATTAGAAGCGGGAAATGAAAGGTAAAGAGGAATGGATGATGCTTTCCAAGTTTCTGGCTTAGATCCCAAAGCTAGAGAAGAGAACACTAATGGAGAACTAGAAGAGAAATTGTTTTAAGACATAGCAGGTGTGAAATATCAAGAGGAGTTATTTAGTAGGTAGTAGTTCTGTTGGTGTGGAATTCGAGTGTGAGACTTGGAATTGAGGTGTATGTGGAAGTCACAGTAGGCATGGGGTTTGGGACTCTTGAGTACGGATATACTTCCCAGTGCCTGCATGTATGGGGTGAAAAGAGAAAGCCAATGACATACTCTTGAAGGCATACCACCACTTAAAGGACTGGTAAATAAAGAGTACCTTGGAAGAAGGCTAAGGGTTGACCAGAAAGGTAAGAGGAAAATCTGAAGCCGAACAAAGAGAGACTTAAAGAAGGAGTGATTAACAGTGCTGAGTGTTGCAAAGGGATCGTTTTAGATATGCTTAGGTTTTATGTAGACAGAAGCCAGGTTTATTGGGTTTTAGAGTGGGTAGAAAGGAAATGTAAACAGTATAAACTACTTTAAGAAAAGAAAAAGAGTGGCCAACACTATGAAAACTCAGGCCTCCTACTTCTAGGTAAGTTAAATCTCTTCCTAGAAGAGTTACTTGCCTAGCAATGTTGAGAGCACAGCTGAGGTGATCCAGTAGACAGATGAACATTAACTGTCACTAACACAATTAAAAGTCTGTATCCTTTTAGTTATATTACTCTGGAATTTGAAGAAGATTATATTGCTACATATACTTTCTCAAATACAAGTTCTGTATATTATGATCTAAACTGTTGGTTCTATTTAACCTTCCTTGGAGCAGAATCTAGTTCAGTAGAAAACTTTGCTATGTTTAAAAAAGGATGTACTGTTTGCCTATTATTTGCTGATTGCAGTTATTTACATTTTGAAATAAAATTAGTATTGTCAGTTTGAAGGGCTTTTAACTCTATATAAGTGGTAAAAATTTTGTCGTCAGAATTATGTTTGTCATTCTTTTCTATGCTCATGCCTGTTTGTGTTAGCGTACATGTAAGCTTTTTCCTATTCTGAACAATGAACACATTATTTTATTCCATTAAAATTTTAGATTACTATGTAGTTGGAAGCTGAGGACAATACTTAGTGGATACCATCAAATAATACAACAGGTAAGTCCTTTGAAAGGTTTATGTTTTAAGCAAGGATAAGAAATTACTAAGTTTACTCTTTTTTAAAGACTTACTTTGCAGAATATTGTAACAAACTAGTTGCTAAATTTTGTAGGCTTCATCTCTATGAAATATTTTAAGGATCTATACATTATATAAAATGTTTTTCTGTCTCAGAATCCTTAGCACATCTACTGTCAGCATTTGTGTTGAAACTGATTTCCATCCTTGAGATTTTAGGGTCTTCAAGTGCATTCACCCTTATCCGGATCCATCACTTTTTGAGTGATTTTTCTGCTAAGACAGAATAGTAGTGGTATGAAAAAATGCCAGGACCCATTTAGGAGTCATAGGATATTTGTGCCCAAAATAGGATTGTGGTTCTAGATTAATAACAGAAAAGGTGTGGAAATCACTTGGGATCATGTATGTGCATATAATAGGAGTAGTTGTAAAGGCTCCATCAGTGAGATACAGGCAGGATTATTTTAGTTACTCTTTTAAAATCATTTTATAACTGGAAGTGTGTACCTTTCAACCACCTTCACCCATTTTGCCCACCCCCTGCACCCAAGTTTAGTTACTGTTAATGTTTAGCTTCCTCTACCTAAAAATTCCTTTAAAGAGTTAAGAAACTTTAAAGCAAAATCACTGTTACTGAAGCAACTGAAAATAATGAAATGCCTCTTGTAGAAAAATAAATTAAGTAGAATTGCATTTCATTTGTATGTTTTTCCCTCCTATATTTTCTCAATCTAAAAGGCAGGTTATTATCTATGATAACTGACAGTGACAGAAACTCACACATAAAGCATCACTGAACCACAAAGAAATAATAGGAGATAAACTATTTGATTTGTAGAATGTAGGCTGTCATTGCTGGCAGTATAATTACAGCAGTGTTTTAAGAGGATGTTTAAATTATTTCTGTTTTCTCTCCATTGCCCCCTCCCGATCCCCTATGACTATTTATATTATATATTAAAGTTTAAGAAATGAATCTATTGAGATATTTAAATAGCCTGAAAAAACTTTTTAATAAAGACTAAGTATAATAAAATTTCTGTTTTTCTTCACCAATTCACCAAGAAGGTCCCTAGAAAAAGTCCCAATCTCCTCTCTGCCCTCCAGTTGGTAACGTAGAACCCAGTATTAGTTGAGTCTTTGTTTTATTCCAAAGTCCAGATGAATATTACTATTCTTGCCTTGTATCATTTTTAAGTAGTAAATATGGGTCAGGGGGATCAACAGTCTTTTTCAGTGACGGGCCAGATAGTAAATTTTTCAGGTTTCGTGGACCATAAGATCTCTATTGCAGCCACTCAGCTCTGCCCTGTAGCTCCAAAGCAGCCATGACAAGAGGTAAAAGGAATGACTTCACTGCATTTCAGTACAAATTCATTTACAAAAGCATGCATTGGCTGAATTTAGCCTCTGGACTATAGGTTGCAAACCCTGGATATAATTTATTACTCATCTCCACTAAACTAAGGGGTGGGGGGTAGATATTGTACAGAAGAAGGGAAAATCAAAGATTTGTTCTACAAACATGTACCCACTCAAAGCTATGTTAATATGTGAATCATATGTTTCATACATTGCTGAAATATCTTAGGTTATTATTTTTGTATCTAAAGAGAGTGAACAAATTCACATACTGACTTTGCCCAGAACTGTGTGGCTGTAGCACAGAGCATCACAAAAAGTAACACAGATACAGTATTTTGACTTCAAGCAGAGAAATGATATAGTTTTATCTAAGAACAATTTCAAATTAGAATTTAAATTTAATTTCTTTTATTATATAGTTATTTTAAGAATGATTTCTAAGAAATGGAACCATGATTCTTAAATATTCATTCTACTTTAGAAGTGGTGGGGTTTTTTTGCCATTTTGTTATATTGGTTTTACCTTATTGAAAGATTGATTCCTTTTGAATTAATGTGGATTAATTGTGAAAGGACAAAAATAATTATTATAGGTGGTCTTTAAGGTCAATAAAAAATAAAAATAGATAGTATTGTTTATAATTATTAATTAATTGCTCTAACTAGTTTTTTTATAGTTGTATAGATTTGCCTGATTTTTATATTTTATGCTCCTATTTTCACGTTCTTCACTCCTATATCACTTACAAAAAATAATGGTGTGGTTTGCTAGATTTGCTAAACTTAATAGTAATCAGTGCTAAAGGACGAGAGGAGTGTATGAGGTTTTAAGTGAAATTCTTACTCAGTTCAGTATATCTCACCAGAGTAGATTTTTAAGCTTTAATTACTCTTTCAAAATGAAATTGGTAGAAATAGTAAAGACAATGACCAATATTCCAATTCTTATACTTTTATGCTATAGATATAGCTAATATTTTTTTCACATTCACAGGGACCTGTATTTTATTTCAGTTTCAGTGACTGGAATATTCATTGTACAAGTGAAATTAATTGGAAATGTTATTTTGATCTAGAGAATGAAGCACTCTCCTGATCTAATGAGCTTTATGATGGAGTTGAAAATGGTTTTGGTAAGCATTTGTTTTCTAACACTGTTACCATATCCTGTAAGTCTTGATTGTTTTTGTACTTCCCGTATGTTTTTTATCTTACTGTGAAAATCTTGGTTTCTGCTGTTAACATAATTATTATTTTTGGCCTATCGATTATTTAATTTTGAAGAAACAATCGTTGATTAAAACCAAAACTATCAAGTTAATTTCTGAGTCACAATATTCTCCTCAGTACATTTGTTACTGCAATTCTAAATAAAATGAGATCCTATTTTTTAGCTTTCTAAATAAATTATGGACAGTGTTGGTTATATTATTACACAATTATGACAGTGTACCTAGAAATAGAATAATTATTAGTTCATTTGTTGGGGTGTGTTGTCAGTAATAGGGTTCCTATAATATAATCACTGATGAAAGTATTGATACCCAAATGAAATCAGTAGTTACTGAATTTGTCAGGAAATTCTGTAAATCTCCCATGGAATTTCTTAGTAATAATTGGGCATATGGTAGGTGTTCTGTATATATTTAATAAGTGAACAATTACCCATATTTTAAAAAACTGTGTGAGGTGTAGGCTATTTTATTCCCATTTTAGAGCTAAGTCATTAACTGCCTTAGGCCTCAATACTAGGAAATGTTCAAGTTAAATGTACTAGGATTTAAAACCTGTGTGTGTAAAGCTTGTGTTCTTCCTTCTATATACCTTTGCCTCCTTCTTTGTAAAGAATGCTTTGTTTCTCTGACTTTTCCTTTTTTCCTGTTATGCTTCTAGAATAGGAGTAACTTGTCTGACCTAAGGTAGAAGGCAGAGTTTACAAATATCATAAATTTAGGATTAAAATACATTTTTATTATTATCCAAGTTTCTTTTTATTTTCAATATTTGTGGGTAGCAGTAATTAATATTTCTGAATAAAAATAGAAATTTCAAAGAAAATACTGTATAGCTGTTATAAATACAGGAACTATACTGACTTATTTATTTTTTTAGAAACAGAGGATAATCTTCATAATACAGATTTATTTTTATGGACCAGCAGGCTAATTACAGATATGAGGTATTTAGTTTGTAAAAAAGGCAATATTTTCCTTGTCTTCTAGGAGCTTACCTTCTAATTAAATCCAAATTGATATTCTGGGCTTTACAAATCTGGTTTCACAGAGTTTTCTAATTTTAATTTTATTTTTTAAATCATAAAACAAATTTAGAACTTTATTAAAGCACTTTCAGCTAATAGTAGTTCTGATTTTGAAATACTGTTTTGTAAAATCTGTTTCTTTCTAGTGTTACCTTAATTTGATAGTATCCTATCCATGTTGAAAAAGAAAAAGGTATAAGGGCTAATAGATTAAACATATACTTAAAGGGTTAAATTTTATACCTTTTATTAGCGTTACATTTACCAGAAACATTTATAATTTTTGTGTTTGTTTCCATATGGCTTTGTTAGTTATAGTATCCGATTTTTTAAAAAATTTTATTTGTTTAGTTTTTACAATACCATTTGGTAATCCAGGCCATATGAACATCTATATAAATTGTAGATACTTTTATTTTTACTTTCCAAATAAGATATTTGTCTAGGATAGCACCTTTGAAGTAATTGGTAATTTTTGGCCTCAGCAATTCTAATGATTTTTGTATTGCTTCTTTAAATGTAATTTTAGCCCTGCTGGCATGGCTCAGAGGTTGAGCATCGACCTGTGATCCAGGAGATTGCTGTTTGATTCCCGGTCAGGGCGCACCCAGGTTGCAAGCTCGATCCCCAGTCTGGGTGTGCAGGAAGCAGCCTATCCATGATGACTCTCTCATCATTGATGTTTCTCTCTCTCTCTCCCTCTCTCTCTCTCCATTCCTCTCTGAAATAAAGTTATATTTAAAAAATAAATAAAATAATAAAATATAATAAAATAAAAACGTAATTTCAGTTTTGTTTGGGGGAACATAAACCATCTTAAAGATATCATAACGTGAGCCTAGTAGAAAAAGAAACTATGATCTAATCAGATGGCAAAACACTTAGACTTACCTGGTCTCGGATTTACATAAAATGAAAAAAGAAATTAGCAGGTATTTATTGTGATAATGAAAGGTTTTTGTTTATAAGGTGATTCATAATGGTGTACAAATATATCAGTTTAGGCAATGTACTTAGAGTTCAGGCTTTTCTTTAAAGGTACATGTTTCTTTCTATCAAACTTTATGTTCACAGGAGTAGTAAGATAGTGGTGAAGCCTTGGGGATGAGTTTTTTTTTTTTAACTTTTTTCATCTTTGATAGATGTCATAGTCTAGGAGAATATTAAAGTCTTACGGTTGAAGGTATAATAATTGACATTTTTATATGATCTTCAGTGTAATCTTTTAACTTTTTCATGTGTCTTTTTTGATAAGAAATGGAAAGAGTTGGTTGGATTTTCTGTAAAAACAATGGATACTTTAGTTAGGCACAAAGAAGATTATGAAATTGTGTTGTGTAATCAGGTGCTAACATTTCATTGTCTAGCATTCCTTAGCCAATTCAAGTTTTTTTCTTTTAAACAGGAAGTTGCTTTAAAGAATAAAGAAGAGATACATGCACTACCTCCTCCTCCCCAATTCTACTCAAGCCTTATTGAAGAGATAGGAATTCTTGGTTGGGATAAGTATGTCTATTTTAAAATATGTTTTAGAAATGCCTTTTTTTTACACATTTCAATTAGATGTTCAGCAATTTATTTTATACCTGTTTTTAGTTGAACTGTTTCAAGGCATTGATGACATGGATCATGTGTCATTTTTTGGATGTAAAGTGATAGAATAGAGAAAAATCATTTTGACTTATTTTCAGGTGCTTCAATGTTAAGACCTTAGTTTTTAAAATAGTTAAGAATGTAGGAAGGCATTGGAAAGGGAAGAGGAAATCTTCTAGTTTTATTTCTGTTAAATGGAGATACTTGTTTATACTAAATTAATTCGAATAACTAGACAAGGACATTGATTATGCTCATCAGCTGTGTCACCTTCATCAAGTAACATAACCTACCTGAGCCACATTTTCTTCATTTTCAATTGAAACTAATAATACTTAATAATAAGTGTTGAAAAGAAACATGTTATGTGACTCAAATAATCCCTGTGTCAAGTAGATATAAAGTTGTTGAGATACTACTTTACCCCAAAATGTTAGACTGTATATGAGTTTTACAGAGTTTTAATTTGTGTTATGATTTAATTATAACCAGTAATAACTTTTGTTATATAACACAAAAGGACATAGATGCTAATAATATGATTTTCATTCTAAAGTACCTTTATAAATAGTATTTTTTCCTCATTCATATCCAAACCACTGAATAACTGCAGGTTATCTAATAGTGAAAATATTGTTTTTTTCTAAATTTGTAATGTGTTGATAGTATCTAATTTAAATAGAATTTGCATTCAGCTGTTTAGAACATGCATGTGAAGCAATAAATATGAACCAGTCTCACAAAAGCTTCTCCATGTTCATTTAATACATAGAGCATTGGCATATTCATTGAAGTATAAAACGTTTCATGTTCCTTATAAAAAAGCAAAAACTTACATGAAAAGGAGCAGTGTGAGAGTTTCAGGAAAGGTGAGGTCCTTTTGGGCTACAGATAATTTAAGAAGGTTCTTAGATGAGGTGGGTTTGGGGATAAGCTTGGAAGGAATATAGAGAGCCTTAAAAGGGAGGGATTGGTAAAGGCAAGGCTATAATGATGGAAATGGACAATTCATTTTTGGATTTTGGAGTAAATAAGTTGCTCACATAAGAGGATTAATATCAGGGCCAGACTGAAGGGTCTTGACTGCTAGGCTGAGGATTCTTTATACCCAGGTAATGGGGACTCATTGAGTACTTTTAGCAAGGTGTTGATATGGTTAAAAAGATACTTAGGAAGATTAATTTAGTCATGGAAGGCAGGATAGGTTGGTGTACAGAAGAGACAGGAAGTAAAGACACCAATTAGGGAGGTTGTTTTTTGAAATGTGGGTTTGAAGTATTAATGCTTAAACTTGAGAGTAGTGGTAAAAATGGAAATTTTGATGCTTTATTAAACCATGAAGGTCTCAGTTTGCCGTTCGATGTTATTACTATATAAATATATCTAGATATTTAAAGAAAGAAAAATTATATGACTTAGGCTGTTGGTCAAAATAGGTACAGTATTTCAAGAGATAAAGCTCATTCCTTTTGCTGCTCGGTACTGATAACATTCATCCACTAACAAGAACAAAAACCTCCCTAAAGCAACTAATATCCTTTTTAAATGTTTATAAAACTTAACTGTCAAGTTTAGTGCCATTTTGCTTATTGCAAGCATACTTGCAAAGAAATGCAGCAGATTACAAATACGAAGTAAAATGCCAAAGGTATATTTTATTTCTTTAGATTTTATATTTGTGTTGTTATATTTTTAGTCAAATTTGAATATGCCTAGCTAAGTAATAATACCCAAACTCCTTCTAGATATAAATTTTAAATGTGATTTCATAACATTAAAAAAATTTGAGCTTTCCAATGATGGAAGTTTTCTAAATATATTAAGTGAATTATTTATCTTATTTAAATGAGTACAATTAATCCATATTGTTTAAATCAAGATACCCACTGTAACAATAAAGCAGAACATTTGAAATAGACTTTTTTAAGACTGATTTTTAAATTACTTGTAAGAGCTTATCACTATTTTATTTTCCTCATTAATATCTTTTTTATAGACCAGACTCTAAGATTTTCTTTTCTATTGTGAATAGATAGAAATATGTTCTTTTAGTTAAGATATAGGTTAAGCTACTATTAGCAAAGAGAACCCCAAATCCTCACTATTTCAAACAGGATAGAATTTTATTCATCTCTCATTAACAGTTCAGAGGTGTGCAGATGATCAAGAGTGAGTCCAGGTGGCTCTGTTCCACAAGGTCATCCAAGAACCCACATTTCTTTCATTTGTTTCGCAACCATCTACTGTGACTGCATTGGTCAGTAGCTAGTATAGTAGCTACTCGTCTCTGGTGGCTATTGGTGTTTATATTTATATCTATATATTTATATTTAAACTAAATTAAAATGTCAGTGTCTATACTAACTATATTTTAAGTCCCACATCACCAGTGGCTGCTGTTTTGGACGGTGCAGATGTAGAGTACCTCCATCACTGCAGAACGTGCCAGTCGTCAGAGCTGCTCTGAGAGTTGTTCTTGTCTGTATGGTCTTTGCTGGCTCATATTGGCCTGTCTCAGATCTAGTCTAAAGGAAGGGAGAGTGAGAGGGCACTGGAGAGGAGAAGACACAGTTTTGTTAATAAACATGATCCAAAAGATGCACATATCAATCATTTTTGTTTGCAGTCCATTGGCCAAAATTTAGTGATACGCAGATATGCAGGGGCAGCTAGGAAGGGTTGCTAGCTGGATGGAGTGTACCTGCTAAAACTCGGTGTAGTCGGGGGTGCTGTAGAGGCAGGGGTTCTATTGCCAAAAGGAAGAAGGCGAGAGGAAATAGTAGGAGACATGTGGCAGTCTAGGTCACATGTAATCAAAGTGTTAATAATCATAATGAGGTTTCTCCGTGTCCCCGAAACAAAGTAGACAGAAACCAACATGGGTAAAATGTTTAATTTTAAATGACTAGGCTAAGATTAACCTAAAATTATAAATGTTTTTACTGTTTTATTTGACTTCTTAAAGTTTAATAAAATTAATCTTACCATTTTGACTGCAAGGCCATGTTTTGAGCATGACATTTTCTCTAATGTATTATCTCCATGTCTTAAACTGTGTGGAAAGATGATAATCTTTGTTTGTGTGACTGGAAACAAAAGACTAGAACTTTTGTTTATTTCTGTCTAATTTTTTAGATGTTCAGTAATGATTTTGAACATCTGGATAAGGAGCAGCAATGTGAAGTATGAAAAGTACTAGTTGGTGATTTGTTTCTATTCTCTTCCCACCCTTCTTGTTCTCTTTTTGTGTATATTCACCATGGTTATAAGGCTTAGAAAGAAGAGCAGCAGAGTTTTCCCACACCGTTTCTTATCCCCAGTCTTATTCTTTGAGACAAACACTCTGAAATATTCATGCTTGCAACTTCCATATTTTTTAATAATATGCCTATGTTCAATATTGCTTGATTTATTAGTTTTAGGAATTACATACTGATTACTATAATTAGAAAGGATTTAGCTCCTACACTACCACCTCTCTCCCTTCTTTACTGTTCTTTTTTCTTCAATTAGGGTTAATATTTGTTAAACTTCTTTCATGTCCATTCAGTTAATGATATGCATTCTTTTACCTTCAAATTAGCAGTTAGAAATTTTAGTGTTCCTAATCTTTCCTTCTCATCTCTTCCCCCTTTCTACCTCTCAATTTTTGTCATCTTTTGCAGTGGTCAAATATATTTACATTAGTATTTGTAGCTGTAATTCTTTTAGCATTGTCTATTGCTGGGTTTTTAAAATTGTAATTAGTAAGCAGTTTGATTTTTTTATGACTACATAAATACTTTTCATTGAAAAGTTAATGGTAGAACAATTACAATTTTAACATAGCTTCATTGTTTATAATTTAGGTTAAATTTTCTTCTTTACTTTTTGGTTTCTTATTTTTTTAAAAGTATTCCCTGAATTTCTCCTCATATATGTCATACCCTCTGTTCTGTAGACTGACTGACTTCTTTTTTGCGAGCTCTCTCTCTCCTGGAACCTCCTTTTTCTGTCTTCCGTGTTTTGTCAGCTAATGTTCTTCAAACCTATTTTTATTTTTATAAAGTTTGTCGAAAATTTGCTTTAGTTGATGCTATTTTCTTCTTGCTCTTTTTGTAATTGTGGGGTTGTGGTTTTTTTTTTCATTTTTTAGTGAGTGGATATAAACGCATGTGCTTATATCAGCATCTTGAATCTGAAGTGTTAATGTTTTCAAAGAGTTAGGTGCCTGTATATCTGAACTTAGAGTTGTATTGATAAAATGTGTGATAAAGTCTCATGTTCTAAATATTTTGGGGGAGGGGGTTTGAGATGTTTACAGATATAACTGAAAGAAATTAATTATTAAACATTTTTATATAAAATCATTGATATTTTTATGTAAATAAACATTTTTTTCTGGAATAAGATTACTTTTGTTTTCTGAAACTTTTTATATAGATTTTGATAAACATTCCTTCTGTTGATAAAGGTTGTTTTATCTTTTAGTCTGTTGTTGAAGATATGTGTCTTTTTCAGATTTAGATCTATTTTCCATTACAAACAGTGTTCCACAACTTTATTGCCCAGCATTTTTTTTTTTTTGAAATTGACCCACTTTTACTATTATACCTAGCCAGTGACTAAACAGCATATAGTGATGTTAAAAAAATGTTTCCTGGGTTAGAAGGCTAATGTTAGTTCTGAACTCTAAATGGGTCTTACCATCAGTCTGGGTGATAAGTTGTGCAATACTCTTAGGCTACTTTTTATCTTTACAAGAGAATAGTATTGTAAAAATGTCAAAAAATATCCACATGCCCAGTTCACTAGTAAATATACTACTAAATTTGAACATTTTTGGCAGTAGCTTATGCTACTCAAGGGACCATAGTTTTACAGAATGATGTATTTCAAAGGGTATTGGTTTCCGTTGTAGAAAATTCATGCATTTAGAGCAACTTAAAGCCAAAACAACTGTGCTTGTGCTATATGTTTAAAATATTAGTCATCTTGAATGCATGCCCAGGTTAAGTGTCAGAAGCTATATATCGCACAAAAAGAAAATTTATTGTTAGGAGACCAGGCTGTACCTGTGCTTATACAGCATTTTCCTTGGAGCATCAATTTGAGTATATGAACTAATATCAGCCAGATTTTTGTACAGTAACATTATTGATAATAAAGGAAAAGTTCATCGCGGAGAAAACAAATAAAGGAAGCATAAAAGTCTCATACTGTATGAAACTACAGAAATGGATCAAAGAGTTTGACAGGAAGTTTAATGTGTACATAAGTAGAGGCTGACAGGAACATGCTGTGTGTGCCAAAGGTTCCAGTGATGGAAAACCGAAACATAGTGCTCACTGACCACAGCATGAGCCTTGACACACATTGTAAATAATCCAGAGATCTATGACTGCATTAAGCACTAGGCTGGTGTATTAACGGCAGTAAATCTATATAGCAGCATAAAGGGCTGGCATGCAGAAATCCTTCTGATTAATTTTGTAGTGGATTAATAGGAATATAGCATATATTTTCATTTCTAATCCTACCATTCTTTCCCCCTCCCCCCAGTCCTGCCCTCCCCAGTGTGATCATTTATTCTCTTCTACTCACCAGACTTGTGTATGCGGATTCTTGCTTCAGTACCATCAAGTTAAAAGCTGAAGATGCTTCTGGTAGAGAGCATCTAATCACTCTCAAGTTGAAGGCAAAGGTATGTGCTTTGTTAAACTGTTATTGTGGTCAGGAAATACTCTGTGAAATGACCTCTATAAATGTTTTCAATGTAATGAGGTGCCAGCTGCTTCTAAAAAATATACATATGGTACTTTAAAAAATTATTTTGGAAAGCCTAAAAGAAAATTCACCAGGTTTTCAAAAGCCTAGATATAATTTCATGTCACTATTTTAATTCAAATCTGATAAAAATATAGACTTCATAAAAAGGAAGTATTGCAATAAGATTCAGCAGCCTCAAAGCACCAACATGTTATTTTTGTAACATCCAATATTGAAAAGAGTTGGAAGTTACCACTCTCCCAAGTAAAGTTCTACTGAAGGTCTTTTGTCTTCAACTCTTACTATGAATTACCTTTCTAGTTATTTCTGACCCACTCCTGACCTCCACCCCAAAACAGACACACACATATGCATATTTTTTATTGTTTGTTTTGGCTGAATTTTTTTTTTACTTTTGTTATTTTAAAATTTTGCCTCTATAGGGCCTTTACAGGCTAGATATCTGTAACTACTCATTAATTTATTGGCACAAAACATAGCTGTTTCATCTTTATTTTTTAGTTCTAGATTGGGAATTTTGAGAAATAAGTACAATAAGGAAGTACAGCATATTAATCATTTATTTAGTAATCACTAGGGAAACATTAGAATTTGAGAAAACCAGTGCATCTCTTTTTTTTATTGTTCCCAGGAGTCATCAATCAACTCTATTTCAGAAGATTGTAGTGATGAAAAGATCAATTGTGTTTGTCCTTTTAAAAATGTGCCTGGCATTTAAGCTTTCCATGAGAGAGAATTAATATATAAAGCTGTGCTGGGTGACACAGAAAAGTTGGTATCTTACAATGCCTCTGTATCAGGCAAGTTGAGAAATTACTCCTTCTCTCTTTCTCACACACAGAATGTTTAGGTATAATTTTAAGACTCATGTGAGAAGTGCTAAAAAAATTAGCGTACTAGAAATCTTATTTGTAAAAGAAGTTACATGGATATTTTCGTTTAAAAAAATTATTTTCCCTTTAAATTTTTTAAGGTGTGCTTTCTTTAAGAACAGGGAGAAATCTTCCTTATCTTTCCAAAGGTCACATACTGCCAGTGGCAAAAGTTCTGTCATTTCCTTCAAAGCTTTATTTGTTTATAATTTGTACATTGATAAAAAATTATTGGCTGCTATGAAGACCAAAATGAAAGATTTTAAATATATCCTGTCTTGATTCTGGTTTAATACCCTAATTTTTGCAAGCATTTCTAGTTATTGAAGAGATAATTCTTTAAGCCTACACTACCTATATCTATACCTTCAAGATTTTATTATTAATTCCAGTTAATAATGTTATTGGTAGTATTGAGAGTGAGGATGTACTACTAGTCTGTTCACTTTTTCCTATGTCTTCACAAGGTAGATAAGCTGACTCTTTTAATATTTCTCTGGAGAATGTTTCTAAATGTCAGTTTTTGCAGTATTGATAGCTATGAAGCACTATCATGGATGCCCTCGCAAGAGAGAAGAGAGAGCTTTATTTGAGTTGGGAAGAAGTTAGAAAGAAAAAAATGTTTGTTTCTTTTCTTTTTGAAAGCACAGAGTGGAACTGAATGAATCTTATGTTGGTGTGATTTACTAAAGTCTTTAATTGTCCATTTAGTTTAGTTTTCATAGAGGCAGACCCAAGTTCTCTTTTACATGTGATAATTTATTTTCTAGGAATATTTGGGTCTCCTATTGTCAATTAAAAGTAGTGATAGCTGAAACTGTGTTAAAGTACATAATGCAAAATCTTAATCCAAATTAAATTTTAAATAAAGGGTCAAGCTGATTTTTTTTAACAAACTTAAAGCAGACTTATTTTTGTAAATTTATAAACCTGTTTTTATATATTGTAAAGAAATTCATTAGTTTAAGTATTTTTTTAATATTCCAGGGTTTACTCTAAATATACACATATATAGATTAACATATACAATATCCGAAACCTGAAACACCAGTTAGAAAGAATCTATACACCCCTATGTTCATAGCAGCACACTTTACAATAGTATAAGTATTTTTATTCTGGTATATATACTTTCAATTCTGCTTAAAGAAAACAGTACCAGCATTGACTAGACACCCACTATTAAAAATAAATATATAAATCAAAAAGAAATGTGATAAGGGAAACAGTTAAAATTTGTTGTTTTTATAGGTGTATTTTTATGCATTACTTATAATATATCCTGAACCATGGGATGTAATTATCATTTCTCCTTGAAAAAAGTAGCGTAGGCCTTCTCAGTTTTGGCCAACATCAGAACTACTTGAAAAACAACTCACAGATGTGTATCAGAGGCTGAGCACTCTGTCTCTGATGGCCGATTTGTAATCCTCAATTTGTATATATTCACTTGGGGAGCCTCTTAGATGATCCAGTCACAGGACAGTTTGGGTTAAAATTTTTCTTAGAACTATATTAGAGTCTAAATATATTGCATGTGACAAAAATATATACTTTTGTAATTTTATAATTGTATTATTTTATAGTTACTTAATTGAATGGTTTCAAGTGAATTTTTAAACTATATTTTAATTTAAAATAATTACTGTACTTATTTTTCAATTAATATCCTTTATGTGGAGCTTTTATCGTCAATTACACTTCTACAAAGACACTTTTGGCAATTAGTCTCTGGTGATTTTATGTATACCTATATTACTTACTGAAACTGTCTGAATTTTGGTAGTTATTTTACAATATTATTTTTAGTTGTTCATGTTGTAGTTAGTACTACAATACAAATGATTCTGAATATGAATATCTAGGATACTGCTTCATAATTCATGTTAAATTATCCACAGGTATATAAGTTTGTGCTTTTTAGGTTCTGTGCAGTTATGTAAAATTTATTACATAAATAAAATAGATCTTAAATGTGAATGTAATTAACATATACTATATATATATATATATATATATATATATATATATATATATATGCATTAA